CAATAACAGAATTATTCATTTTGTGCAATGATCTCTTATGGCCCAATCTACTGCACGCGCTGCGCGTTCGTGGCGGCGAGGGCGGGCGTTTCGCGCTGTACGGCCGGGCGCCCGCACCCGCACCCGCACCCGCACGTCAGCCTGGTGTACCCTAGGGTATTAGGGTAGCCACCGTCCGTTTATAATATAATGGATCCTGGTCCTGTTGCTCTTGTTATCAGTTCGTTGGAGGTTTATGCTGCTGTGGCGCTAGTCGTACAGCGCGTCGTGGTACAAGTACGCGGCGAGTTGCAGCAGCTCAATCCACGGTCTGTTAACCGGACGGATTCCGCCCAACTAACAAGACAGTTATTCTAGTTAGTTAGAATGAACGAATACAAGACCGATGGCCCCATCAATCAACTAAACACCAAAAGCTTCTCAAAACGGATCATCTATGTAGTTGTGTAATATTTATGTACGACATGCGCGCAATTTAAGAGCAGGGGTAAAATCCCATACCAACTCCTATCCCCAACAGGCGGTCTTTCGTACCAGTACGTCGCGTTCCCAAGGCACTTTGATGCCGTACAGTTCTCTTGCGGACATGATGTCGTTGCCGTACTTCCGTTGTACAGGTGCAATGAAAGGTTAGCGCTGATGAATCCTTGCTGCGCAGGCGGGGTTGGGTTGGGTTGGGTTTAGGGAATGGTTTAGGTGCCGGAAGGTTAACTTGAACGGAGGTCAAATCGTAGACCACCTTTTGGACGAGCAGATCTCGCCAGTTCGCAAACCCTGGTATTATGAACTGGACTACCCGGAAGAGCGCTAGCTGCGGGTAAGCTGCGGTGCCATCCTTGCCGGTGAATCGAATGCGGCAGCGATGTCGCGCCAGCCAAAGAAGTGTATGAAACGGGTATAAACGCACGCACACCAAGCCTGATACAGTGACTCACACATCCAGACTGCGGCGGTACGCACACTCACACATCCACACACGCACGCACACACGCATGCACGTATGTACGCACGTACGCACACATGCACACATGCACATACACACATGCGCGCACACGCATGCACGCACCTGACAACTGACAATGAAAAGTCCAACCTCGGTTGCGAAGAGAGGAGTGCTGAAGTTGACCAGCACGGTGCCCGTTGAGGCTCTGTTTATGGAGTACCTGCAGGGTACGCGTACGGCATGGTTTGCAGCAAGTCATGGATACAGCAAGCCGCGAAAGCAGAGTGGGGTTTCTAGGTGCTCGTCATCAGTTTGGAAAATTCAAAAACTCGGAAAGATAGGCAAGGGGCTACTTAGGGGGTTTTACCACCAACAACATTGACATTGCCCCTCTGGAACGTAAGAAAAACATGTTCGTATCCGCTAAGCCCTTCAGTCGTTCCGTCGATCTGAATTAATTCAGGTACCAGATACCACGCTGCGCAAAACAAAGCACCCGCTGACGCAAGCGACGGCGTGCAAACATCATGTTGTGGATCCGACATGTAACCGTTTCGCAGCCAGTACCTGCTTCATTGACGATGTACTCACAGTGTTGTAGCTTGAGATGTGGCATCTTGAGCTCCCCCAGGGATGCAGGCGGCGCCTTCCGTGTAATATGGGGAGCCCGAGAGGTCGCCTTTGAGAGATGTGGCGGTATATGTACTGGACTTGGCGAAGACAGTTATTGGAGGCGATGTGCAGATATAGGTTTGTACACCAGGACCAATCCAAACCCCATCAACACAGCTCTGTCCATTAGCGGGAAGTAGGACCTCAAGCGCAAACACGGCTAGTAGAACAGCGACATTTCTGACCGAGATGGCGCTGAGGAACATCTTGTTGACACCGAAGCTATAAGTACCTTAAATTAATAAGACTCATGTTCCTCGCGCGCTCTATCTGTACTCGCGGCGATTTTCATCAAACGTGGGCCAGGAGCCAGGACCGCATCTGAAAAAGATATCCTAGCTTTTCATTTTATATTAGTAAAATATATGTACTGAAATATTAAGCTTGCCTATCTAGCCAGAATTCTAGCGTTTTGCACCGCAGCAGTACATGCGTACGCCACCATGCGCCATGCATTGTGGTAACGCGAGCTCTCAAATGCCTAGAAATTTAACCGTAGCATCTTAGCATCACAGCCTTAAAGTTTGCCTGTGCAAATGTATGCACAGAAGGTCGCAGCTAGGAGTTGTGAATGCGAATACTGGCGAATCCGCCCGCCATACCCGATGTGAAAACTCCTGCATACGTGGAGCGGTTGTTGACCGTTAGAAAAGTAACTATTGACAAAATGAGGCCATGTGCAGTTTAAAGCCGCTGCACCAAACATTTACGAGCGTGAGGTCATGTCTGACAGCTGTCTGGGCGTCCAATTCCACGTATCAATGTCTGCCATACACAACATGGCAGTGAAAGTGGCTCAGGGACTTTCTGCGCTGTACAAGTTAGTTCAAATGAGCATATAACTCTATACAATTTTACTTGTGTCTCCTGGGAGACTGAAGTTTTAACTGTACTATAAACAATGACTAAATAATGCTATATGTACTGCCATTTACCCATTAAATCGCTCTGTGCATTACTACAATAAAAAAACTGGTTCCGATGATTCTGTTTCCTGATAATGATTCTTCAGGTAGGTACTAAACTTCAAAAGTTCACCATTTGGCAGGCCTTCAAGGCATCCATATTCGGCAAACATAAACATTCTATCCCAATTGAATTTTAACCACAAGCGCATAATTTATGCAGCTTAGTTGTTAAGGAAACACTGGGTCGTAAGTGGCTGGTGGGCTCTGGTCGCGTCAGCATGGCCCCCCACCTCCCGAAGTGCCCATGCCCCGGCGTGGAAGTTTGCTAACGGACTACGGCGAGGTGACCAAGTGTAGAAATGACATGAAGGCATCTGAACTTTCCTTTACTCTTCTATTATAAGAGATTGAGAAGCTAGAAGTTTAACCTTAGTACCTTAGTAGCTGCATGTCTCTGCGTTCTCCCGCAGGATGGAGCGGTCAACAGATATCTAGCCCGCCCGTCTTCATCGGTGCTGTCATGGCTACCTGAATCGCTGTTATGTCCATCAATAAGCTTTTATTTTTTGTCAATATTTATAGCAGCCAACGCATGCCATAGAGTACTCTGCTAAATAAGCTAAAATAAGCGGACATCTTGAGATTTTCCCCAAAATTCCAAAGCCGCCGCGACAATAAAGTATTACCCGATGACCGTAATACATTTTCTTGTCTTGAAAAAATGATGATCGCCTATTTCGGCGTTTTGCAGCGGCACTTTGTTTTGCAGCTTGTACGGCCCAGCAGAGCCAAAGAGACATATGAGTCACTGGAACAACGCCGCTTCCGCCGCCGTCCCCGTCCCCGTCATCGATGCAAGATATGGAATCAGCTGGGGACGCGTGAAACCTCCGTCGTCGCATGCACGGAGGCGCCAGCAACATCGTATCCTGTGCAGCTACAGCCGCCAACACCGCCACAGGTCGATTAACGAACATCTACGGGTTAACCGGGTCGATGTTACCTGTTAACAACAACGATCGAGCAGTGGTGGTGATTCAGTATGAACCTTCTGGAAAACCTTGCCACCTGCTTCGTAAAGTGGAGTGGATTGGAGCAAACTTGCTTCGTCCGTATTTTGCGTTTCATGAGACTATTTTTTAGCTTCATGTAACAGGGGCTAATCGACGGTAAAATCTTGCAACCGCGTTGTGGTGTTGAGGGTTCGTTGCACGGTCCAATCCGAATGGATATATATATTACATCCCAATACAGATATATCCCAATACGTCATCTCAGCGTATCTCTCTCCTCTTGTCCAGTACTCGTCCTTAGGCGCACACGTAGGCGCAACAAAATAGGGATGTGGCATGGAGGACTGTCAGCTTGTTTGAACCTATGAAAAGGGCGCCTTCTCTTGCCACAACTACAGGCCTGCTCATTGGAACCTGGTGGCTGAGCTGAGCGGATTCCAACGCACTTTGGTTTGCTTGTACATGCTGATGATGGCCATAGGAATCCGTGCCCGTACCCCCCCACGCTAGCGGGACAACAATCGGCATGTACCCTACTAGCAAATCGATCATCGTGGAACAGTTCTGGTCGGCATCCACAACGACACCTCCAAGTAGACGGCTTAATAGAAAGGTGTCAATAGCAATTTGCAGATTGGTTTCGACCCCGATCAATTATGACGATAAACGCAGAAACGCAGGCTGGCAAGCAGGCATACGGGCAGACATTCGGACAAGCAGAAGGCGACCAAGCGTGAGCTCCCATCCTCTCCTTCGGTTTGGCCCTTATGAGTCTGGATGTATGTATATGTATGTGTGTATGTCTGCGCATGCTTGTATGCATGTGAGTATGTATGTATGTGTATGCGCATGTTACACTTCGATGCACGTTCTTCTGCGCCACCAAGCTGCCTTTCGGGCAACTCACATGGCACCCAACAATTTTCGCCTCCACCCTCAACCCCACAGCACTAAGCCCAGGTCAAAACCCAACCACGCGCACGTGCCGAAACACGCGTGAGTGCCGCACAAACTTCCGCCCTAACCTGTCACCACCGCACGGCCCCTGTCCCAAGCCCGCCGCTGCATGTACGGCACAATCGGAGCATCCAAGCAAAGGGCGATCTGCTCGCGTCCTCATGCCCCATTTTACCCCACGACACAAAACAAAACCCCGCGTTCACCTCCTTCCTTCCCGTTATTTCTTTCTTTCTTTCCCTCCAAACATAATCATTTCCCCCAACCAAATGGTGTCAGCGTTGTGGCAGAACTTGAAGGGTCGAGTACTCGATTACATATTCCAGGTAACCGAAAGAGTGGCGCGGAGGTCTTGACGTGTCCATGTATGATGCCGCCGTGTAGTCGCGGCCCGGCTGGCTTTCGCAGCTCACCCCGACGACAAACAGACGCCGCCGAGTGCCGGCGACATCAGCGTCTCACGCCACGAAAAGGCCTCAATCGCGGCCTCAATCGCAGCATCGGCCACGGCAGAGAGCGCACCTCACAGGCCGAGACGGCAGATCGGGTTCTTCTTGACCATTGCCAAGCTGACCTACACAGCGGTAATTGTGGCGGTAATTGAGAGTCAGCGACCAGCCGGATGTGAAGCCTCTCTCAAGAAAGAGGATTATATATTCTTACTTTATGTCGGCCGGAAAAAGGGAAATAGGACAAATTGGAATGGAGTGGATTCTAGATTGGAAAAAGCAGCATGTAGGGAACGAAAAAACAGTATGTGTCATGGGGGACTTTTGGGGGGAAGACGAACCGCGGACGAGTGCAGCTGATGGAGGAGTTGAGAGGGAGGAAGTCTGGGCAGGCGGCCAAATGAGACACCCATCGGCCCGCGGCCATTACTCGCGGTGCCCCTGTAGGGGGACAAGGACTGCGTGTAGAGATCACAAAACAGACACAGCTCTAAGGCTTTTCTATGCGACCTATTAGAAAGAAAAGGGTCGCTTACACAGGAACCTGAGTCTAAACTAATAATGTCTTTCGTAACACATCTTGGTTTTGTGTTTCCAGCGCTTTCCAGCGCTTTCCAGCCGCCGGCGTCATACGAGCACACCGCGCACACACCTAATGTGGAAACGTGTGGTTCCCGCGCACCCTCTTCTTTTCCCCCCGGTCCCTGCACTCCCTAATTCCCCCCCCCCCCCGCATCTCCCCGCTCTCCCCCCATCTTAATACCAGCCGCACCCACCTTGTGGCCAAACAGGTCACGGATGTTGTCAATGCCGTACAGAATCATGGTCGGTCGCTCCAGGGAGAGCCCCCACGCGATGACGTTGACGTCCTCCGGCAGACCCATGGGTCGCAACATCTCAGGTCGGAACATGCCGCTGTTGCCTACCTCCATCCACTTGCCCAGCTGCTCCGAGTAGCTGCCAATAGACATACGTAAAAAATACATACATACATACATACATACGTACACAGCTCAGCTCTCATTGACATACGCATCTTAACAGCGTATTAAATTGAAGCATTGCCGCAAACAAGAAGACGAAAGAGGAGTGAAACAGCAGACGATGCGGATAATGAGAAAAACGAGTAGGCGGCGCATTCATGGAGAACGAGACCCGGAAGGCCAAGATGCCAGATGTACAGGGAAAACCGAAAGCGTCTTTGATCCGTTGCGGTGCGGTGCGGTACGGATCCGAAGCGCCTGCCTGCCTTACGGGGGTTCAGCGTTTGATGTACCGTGAGCTCAACTGCTTGCCGTACCACGAGCGTACGACTTCCGTACCTGAAGATCTCCATGGACGGTTCCGTGTAGGGGTTAAAGGCGGGCTTGAAGCGGAGCTTCTTCAAGCCGAGGCGACTGAAGAACTGCTCAGCACGAGGTGGGTGCAGGGTGGGATGCAGAGCTGGTCTTAAGAGTGCGACACCCGGGACATGCGGTTCTCGCACACACACCAGGGTCGTTTGTTCGTCGGACGGCGGACGGCGTGCTTTCCCCTGGTCTACATTTTCCCCTGGTCTACATTTTCCCCTGGTCTACATTTTCCCCTGGTCTACATTAAAATTATACCTCCAAGCAGTGCGGCAATGGGGACTCCTCTAAAAGGAGAACTCTCGAGATGTACTAATTCTTCTCACGCTACTACGGCATAATCCGAGCGCCTGGTTCCACATCATTAAGAGTACCAGCACCAGCACCAGCACCAGCACCAGTACCAGCACCAGTACCAGTACCAGTACCAGTACCAGCGCCAGCACCAGCACCAGCACCAGCACCAGCACCAGTACCAGTACCAGTACCAGTACCAGGCGGGTAGGTAGGTAAATGCCCCCGGGCGAGGGTGCGTGTGGATCTGTACATGCATTGATGCGGTGGAGGGCACGTACGGCTCCCACAGACTCTAGTCCCTCTCTACACTGGTTCTATCAATCCCACAGCCAGGCGTGCAGGTATGTAGTTAAATGTAGTTAAATAGTTAGGTAGGTAAGTGCGGTTGGTGGTCATGTAGTTAGTTGAGTAGTTAGGTGGTTGGCTCGCCTGGTTGAGCACCCCGATCAGGTCGCCCAGCGTAAGGCCCCGGTCGCACACCAAACCTGTCCAATAGGGGAGAATGGGAGGTAGCTCCGGATTTGGAGGAGCGTGTGGGAGGGAAGGAGAGAAGAGGAGGAGGAGCGGGGCGCCACATATATGCGCGACATATGTGCTACTGGCGGCGAAAAGAAGCCAATTGCAATGCTGCAGTACCCTAAGTGGCAACGCTGCAGTACCCTCAAACCTATGCGGACAGAGGCATTAGATAAAAAGGAGCATTCTTAGCGGAACAGGCTAAAACAGATTAACAAACGATCCTCCTCATCAACACACACCTCAATGCCAGAAACCGCGATACCTCCCCCCCGCCCCAGCAAGTCCGTAATCGGCCCCAGCAAACCTGATCTCCAACTAACTGCCAGACCAGTTAATGAACAAACCGACAAACCGACAGACAAACTGACAAACAAACGAACAAACCAACAGACAGACTCACCTTCTACTTGGTGGAACTCCGCCAGATGCGTTCGGTCCACTTGCTCGTTGCGGAAAACCCGGTCGATGGAGAAATACTTGGCGGGTCTGAAGGATGGTGCGGGTGCGGGTGCGGGTGCGGGTTAGGGTTAGGGTGAGTATGAAATGAGCGGAGGGATGGGAGGGGCTCGTTCGCAAGAAGCGAAGGACGGAGGGAGGGGAGGCGTCGGCAGGCGGCCAGAAGAGAAAAGGCTTGGATTTACAGTCGGACACAGAAGCAGCAGCGAGTTGCTAAGGGGTGGGGGAGAACAGGGGAGACGTTGGTGAGGGAGTGTGTCCGCAAAAAGCGGACACCAAATTTGCATTCGAAGCTAGCACTACAGTTTGCCATTAGCAACAGTCAATTTCGCATTTTGTCTTTATATTTGCAGTCAGTAAGGAATGGCGGCCAGTAGGCAACCAAAAGAACACGTGCACGAGCAGTTACCAATTGCGCTATCGGGTCCTGTTATAATTAACAGGAACAACTCTAAACGTTTCGTAATGGATACGTACATATAACATTAAAATGTATGTATACATGTATATATGCCACGTTAAAGATTACCACCTTCTTCTCATATATGTGAAAAACGCGGTGATATTACATACATCTATATAATATATATGGGATATGTAAGTATGTATCTGTGTCATATCTATGCCTACAATTCATGTTGTGTGTATAAATTAAATTACAATAAAAAATATGGTAAAACTTTACAGCAAGCAAGAGCAGCAGTACCACTGGCAGAAAACAGTCAGCCGGTAGAAACCAATAGCTCCAACACCGGCCGCAGCACTACAGCCACAGCACTACAGCCGCAGCACTACAGCCACAGCACTACAGCCGCAGTACAACAACTTACTTGAATTCCCCCGGCTGATTGGCCAGTCGGTGCAGCATGCGAGATGAGACGGCCGTGGTGTGGGTCCGCAGCAGGTTCTTCTCACTTTCCGCCAGCTTCCAGCTGTAGCCGTACCCCGCGGAGCCGTACCCGCCCACCTCGTGAACCGACTGGGGTGGACAGACATACGTGTCTGACATAAGTAAACGGATGGGATGTGCGAGCCTAGCCGAGAGCGTGTTCGGGGGAAGTTGGTGAGGAAGGTAACCTAGCAAGCACCCTTTCGACACTTAGCCTCAGTGTAAGAGGGAACTGAGTACTCTTTGCCTGGTGTCACACTTAGCCTCAGCCTCAGCCTCAGCAGCCGCCTCGCGCGCCTTTTTTCGCTCTACCTTTCCAGCTCCCCCCGAGCATACATACATACATACATACATACATACATACATACATACATACATACATACATGCACACATGCACACATACATACAGCCTACCTTGACCCGTTGCAGGTAGTCGGGATCCACCCCCCGAGCCGATGGGGTGGTGGCGGGCTTGTTCAGGAAGAACGTATCGTGGGCATCTCGGGCGGGGTGCTGCTGCGGCTGGAACAACGCGTCGAAGTTCCAGAAGGACGACTCCACGTACCTGGACGGGCGGACAGCGTTGTACGGCGTTGTGTTGTACGGCGTTGCGTTCTGTTATGTTGTGCGATGTTGCACATCGTGTTGTTGCGTTGCCTTTTATTATGTACGATGTTGTGTTGTGTTGTATTGTGGAGAGCGGCATGGTAAAGGCCGGCAACAGCAAGGAGAGGTGCGTGTGTAGAAGGAAAGAAAAGAGTTGCGCAGACACACCCGTGTGTATGTGTGTATGTATGTGTGTAGAGACGAAAGGAAACGCAACGCAGGGAAAGTATAAACTACGGCGAATACACAATATGGTACGTTCTACACACCAAACGGACATACAGACATACAAACAGACACAAGCATGAACGCTATTCACGGCGGTTCAGCTCTCTAAGCACACACACACACACACAAACAGACAGACAAACATACAAACTTCCCCCTCCACACACACACGATGACGCACTGGTTTGTGGGCATCTCCTCGAAGCCCATCTGGGTGAAGATCTTCCGGAACTGGCTGCGCACCTACATGTATGCGTACAGCAACGCAGTGGAACAGGAAATATACATACATGCATACATACGTACATACGTACATACATATATTACAACAACGCAGCACAGCAGTAGGAACATTACAAATGTGTACGACGACCCAGCGGCAGAAATGTGCGGTGTGGACAACGCTGCAGAAGGAAGGAACACATGCAAAGCGGGAAAAGGCAGTAGCAGGCAGTAGCCAGGGAAGGCAGGTTTGCAAGCCGAGAAACACACGCAACAGATATCCCCTGTATGACCCACACGGTCCCCACCCACAGCCCTTCACCCTCAATCACACACCCTCCACCTTCCCGTTGGAAAGTCGTCAACAGTCCCTCGCAACGCTGGCTTTTGTTTGTCTATCTGTCTGTTTGTCTGTCTGTTTGTTTGTTTATATTCCCCAAACCCAACACCTTGAGCAGCGGGTGGAGCTGCCCTCCGGCCGGTGGGGCCCCCAGGGCGTTGAAGTTGTATTCCTTGAACTCCAAATTCCGCCAGGCGTTCCTGGGGTTGGGCGGTTATGAGGGTTGGGGAGTGAGCCGGGTGAAATTGGGGGGTGGGAGTTGGAAGTTGGAAGTTGGGAGTTGAGTTGATGCTCAGGTCAGGTAAGCCAGAGGCACATTTTTGGGAAGACAGCGGGACGCATCCCCAGGAGGCATCAAGGTACACTCCGCACACAGAGGCACATGCAATGACGTGTCCGTATTTTTTATTTTCATGCAGTCGTACACCCGTACGATCGTACACCTTACCACCGTACTTACTTGGCGAGCATCTCAAACGTCAGGTCCGTGGCGGGCTTCTTCCGCTCCAATGCAAACTTGGGACCCTTCGTCAGCTTGTACGTCTTCCACTGCCTGCCGTACACAAGATACCAACCGTAAATTAGTTGTTGGCTTATGATGAGATCCTAGAATAGTTCCCTAGTTCCGGTCTCTATTATCATCCGACATGACGTACGCCACTACTCATCAAACAATAAACCCTAAGAATCACTAAGATAAAAAAAGATTAATCACCGCAGCATTGCAACACGCAAAACAAAATGAGAATATAAACACCGGACAGCGTTGCCAACCTCTGCCTTCCCTTTTTGCGTCGGGCCACTACTATATATACTACTGCTACAGCTACTGTCAATGCGGCCACTGCTGCTACTGCGACCCCAGTCTCACTCTGGCCTGATGAGCTTGCGCTTCTTCGCCAGGTTGTCCGCCTCCGTCTTGGGAATTTCCCGACCGCTCGCCACGTCAGCCAACAGCTGCTGGGTGCGGTCCTCAATGGAGTCGACCTGCAAGGGGGGGGGTGGAGCAGCGGGGTCGGGGGGGTCGGGGGGGGGGAAAGACGAACCACGTGGACGAGTGAAGCTGCTGCCAGGGCAAGAGTACCAGACGTAGAACTGACCAAAAGGCGGCGACCTCGGGATGACGTAGTGAAGAAGATGTCGGCAACCTACCTACCTAGCCGCCAAGACTAAAATAAGCGCGGAAGAAAAGCAGTGAAGCCAAGCCGTAAAGAAGTAAAGGTAGGTGTTGGGGGAGGAGGCGGAGTGTCGTATCGTGAGGGGAGCGTGTATCCCCATCACGGCGGGATCTGGATCCACCAATCGCTACTTTTCTGAAGTCGTGGTATAACACGGAAAGGGAGCGGGCACATTATATATTATTATATATTATATGCATATGTATCTATATATACATATATACATATGTAAAAGTCAAGGGAAGGAAAAGTTCTTAAAAGGGAGAAGGGGCGTGAGAGGGGATGAGGAAGGAAAGGCCATGTGAAGCAAGTGGCACGAGGGGCTCTGTACGTCGGGATAGAGTTGATTATTTGTCGATTGCGTCATGACACAATGATGGTCATAATATGATTTCTGAGAGGCACCACCGCGGCCCAAACATACACACATACATACACACGCTCAACCCTCTTCCGCACCACCTGACCTCTCCTCCCCTCCAGCATCCAACCCCCGGGACGCCTTCCCTCCTTGTCTAAATCCTCCCCCGAACGCACTTTCCGTACGACCCGGGGCTCCCCCGAACCGCTCTTATCCAAGGCCAACCAGCGCTGCTGCATGGCCTGCTTGAAGCCCACATCTCCAGCCTCGCCAGGGACCTTGGCCTGGAAGAGGGTGCGTGTGCGTTTGCGTGGTGTGTATGTGTGTGCGTGTTTCCGGGACGGCGGGGAGTAGGGAAGTCGCAGGGGGAAGAGGAGGGGGCGCCCAGTAAAGAAAAGGTAAAGGAAGGTGACGGGTCAACGTGGCGGCCTCTTACCCGATTTCCCTCCTCCTCCTCCTTTTTCTCTCCCTCCCTATCCCCTCTCGCCACCCCTCCCCACTCACCCCTGGCAAGCCCTTCCCCCTTTCCATTCCGCTTTCGTCCTCTCAACCCTCCTGTCCGATCCCCCTCTCTCGCCCTCTCATCGCACCTTAAGGTCGGTCATGGCGATCCCCTCCCCAGCGGGAACCGAATTGAACACCTGGGCCTCGGGGGAACCAGCCGTCAGGTAGCCCTGGGCCTCCTCGGTCAGCACGTAGCGGAAGTGGTCAATGTCCTGGGAATAAAGGAAAGCAAGTCAGAGTTACATGGTGAGCGGCTCTGGGGATGCAGGATGGATGACTTCTTGGTTCCGAAAGCATGCGTTAGCAGGAAGGCTTTCAGTTGCGTTATGCCCGGGGTAATGGATGGATTGGGTGAAGGATGGAATCACGTCCACAGCACTCGTCCACAGCAAAGCAGCAAAATCCCTAAAATGTAACGGAGTTGGGAATTGCAAGCACGCACCTCAGCCAAAACCATCTCCGATGCCTGTAAGCTCCGTATTGTGCCCACAAGCACGATGTGCTCCACGCCCAGGTTTTTGGCCAGCTCGCCCGAATCAGCAATCACTTCTTGGACATTAAGCGCCTGCAGGAGACTACTCTCCAAATCCGCCATGTTCGCAGCTGTCTAATTCAGAAATGCAATTATGTATCGACCCTACGGGCGGTGGCCTGTGCGGCTTTGGAACGACCGCCGCCCAGCGCTTTTGCTAAGTGTTCGTGCGATAATGGATCTGCCCACTCTGTACTTACAAACAAAATGCTTTTGAGCAGGATAAGGTTTTGTAACGGCGTACAAGAACTAGTCATCCGTCCGTGATTCGCCCGAGACACCGTACTTGAAGAGCTTTTTGAGCGAGAATGCATTCCCTGAATTGATAGAGTAATTAAGGTTATGATTAGCTGCCTACTTAGGGAGCCAATCCGCCTTGGTCCGAGCCGACAGCTCGACAGCTCGACAGCTTGCAAACCTGGTCGCTCGCTGCCAAAGCGAAAATTGCAGGGCATCCAACTAACCGGTTAAACAGTTCGCAACCGCAATATGCAGCAGCTTTCAAGGCACAGACGGGGAGCAACGACTCGGCCAGCGGCCTGTCCCGCAGCTTTCACGAACCAGCCTCGGGTCGTCACGCATCTCGCAAACCCGCATGCGTTCAACAATGAGGAACCGATGCTCATTCTGTCCAGCGGGACGGCATTGCAACCGTGCATCAGCCGGCTTCAGCGACCGCTTTCAGTAGTAATTGCGGCAGGCCGGCAGGCCTGCTAAAGGCGCTGGCGGCGGAAAAGGCTTTGGCGCCTCCAACGCCCCCAGTGTTTCCAAATCAGGCGTTTCTCAGACCTGTGCTTGTGGTTCCAAAGTGGTGTACTGAGTAAGTACGGCAGGGTTTTGGTCGCCGTACAATTCAAACTTCGGTATTCTTATACGATAACCTCAGTCAAATCCCAGCATGCTTGTCTCCCAAAATCCGCCAACACTCTTACAACCTTACTATAACCAAACCATCGTGAACAGTAAACTCGTAATATATTTCCTTCCCGTAAAGTACGTACGGCGTTGCTGAGTTTCCATGTCCTTCGGCCTCTCAAGACCGGTCCAACGCCAGCCACATTGTACGGCGGATGGTGTTTATTCATTACACCTCCCTCCCCCGGCCCTATCCTCCATTCATCTCCGAAACCACTCATCTCGTACCGTTCTGTACAGCAATGCTGTGAGCCATACCACCTGGGAGTCGCCACCCCGCCGGATGTGGAGACCGCTTTGAGGGCCCGGTTCTGCGCCTTCGTGAAGGGCAGGGGTGTGTGTGTGCATGTCTGTCTGTCTGTTCGCGTGTTACATGTTCGCCCTTAAATACATGTGCAATATGTATATGTGTAAGAAGGGGAACACTTCTTCCCCTAAAGGGGACGGAGTCCCCCCCATCTCGTGACCGGGCATGCGTAATACACACACGATATTGAGGCGCAAACACACGACGCACACCTCCACCCGTACTCTGTTGCCGTAACCCCGCGCATACATGTACGGATGCCCGTGTACAGGGCGCCGTACCTCGTGAGCACCTTCCACCCGTCGTACCATTCGTTCAAGTATGAGGGGTCGGCTCCTGGGGGCTCGCTCGTCCAGTTGCGACGAGACGTGGAGGCAGCAACCAAGGGGGCGCTTCTCCTACTCAAACCTTAAAGTGCGGTTGCCTCGTGTGGCGAACAATCCGAACCACATCTTTTGGGCCAAATATTTCATCTAAGCGGTTATTTGTTTGGCGGTTACTGGTGTGGGGAAATCCCGATGCTCGTCCACATAACTGCCGATGCCCTTGGCGTTCTCACCCGTACGCCCTTAGGGTTAGGCTCATCCGAAGTTTACCTGTCTGTCTCAAAAAAAGATCGCGCCCTTCATTTCTCTTATTCGCTGTATCCCGGCCTTGCCGTACGTTGTCGTACACTGCTACACGCAGATCCTGGAGTTACGGCCAGGATCACATGCAGGCGGGGCCTTTATAACGTTTTGCTACAACTCGGTCAACAAAGTCAACCCCGAGAAAAATGTTGACGGCTCGATCAGGTGGGTGATCGAATGCTTGTCTATGTGCCTGCTTAAGTATAATGTATTACCAAAGCGTAATTAAACCAGGATTGGGCAGTCCGGCTATCTTTGAAACTGTTGGCGTTCACGTTCGAATCCGACCGGAATCCGTTTTCCTCTTCTTGTTTTCTGGGACAGTGCTTTCGGGGCAGCCGGACAGCCGTCACTGGCGGCGGCGGCGCCGCTGGTGAAGGCGGCGGCGGCGACGGCACTTGGTTGTTTGCGAATGATGAGCTGATTGACTACCCCACGTGGATGGAGGAAGCCAAGCAGGCGGAGCTAAGGGCAAAGGGACAACTGCTCCAGGCCCGGATCGTACCGGCGACGGCATCTACATGATGCCGCGGCCAGAGGGACAATCTAGCGCAGTTTTCAGGGGTTTAGCATTTGGTTTGTGTGTTGTATGGTTTCAGAGCGGACATGTTTGATAGACACAAGGAACCACTTGAATGTTGCCTTCACAACCAATTGCCTTAGCGGCACACGGCCTGGCCAAGACCACTACGACCAGGTCAACACATTCACGTACAGAAAGAACGAAGCTATGGCGACGTATGCAGACACATGCGTACTTAGCTTTACCGTGGGTGGTATGACTATGGCTGGGTAGAGAAGACGAACGGAGAAGCAAGGGCAGAGGAAGGAACAGCAACAACAACAAAGACCTCTTCTGCTCGCTTTCCCGACCTTTCTACCTTTCCCCAAACATCAAGTGACTACCACCACATACCACCACATACCACACACCAACACCACACACATTTCACCGCCATTTTTCCTCCTAAGTCTGCTTCCCCGTCCGTCACCCTCTGTGACCTCCCCGCGTCCTCAACCTCGCGCTCACTTCTCCTCCCCTGGCCTTCAACACCTCAGACAGTGTAGTCCTATTTAGGCGACTAGCTAGATGTCCCATTCAGGAAATAAATCGCCGTCCTTCCTCTTCATTTATCACCAAGGGGAACCCAAAGGGGATGGGGACAGAGAACAAGGAAATGTGAGATTTTTCGCTTCCCACTTTTAAATTCGCCCCTTTAGGAGGCGCGTGGCCAATAACCTTCGCGCTTAGCCAGGTGGTCTTTGAGGAGGTCAAGAGGAGGAGGTCTTCTTGAGCTAAAGAAGGTCACCCCCTAGCTTCCTGCCGCTGCTGCTTCTTTAGCCGCCTCCCTTGCCGCTTCCTTCTCTCGCGCCTCCTTGGCCTCCTTCTTCTTAGCACCCCCCGCGGAAGGGGGCTTCCGTGTTGCCAGCGTTTCCTCCAGCTCGGTGATCTTGGCGCGCATCTCCTCCTCCTTTGCGCGGTACTCGGCCGCGAGGATTTCCTTCTCCGCCTCCAGCCGTACGGCGACCAGCTGCGCGACGGCCTCGTCCAGAGTGGCGGGTTTCTGGGGACGGGGTGAGGTATGTATGTATGTATGTGTGTATGTAGGTAGGGAAGTCGTATACAGGTGTGTAAAGCACACATGTGTTACTGGGGCAGGGTGCCCTGCATGGCAAGACGGCCGATTGCGACCCTCACCCACCTTGGCAAGCTCGGCCTTCCGTGCCTCCTCCGCAAACCTCTTCGCCGCCTCCTCAGCCTGCCTCGCCTCCTCAGCCAGCCTCGCCGCCTCGGCCTCCTCAGCCGCCTGGGTGTGTGTAACAACCGAGGGACATCCGTGAAGGCGGTATTCGGGTAATGGTCGTTAAGGTGGTTAAGGTGATGATTCGAGGGATATTGTTAAGGAGGTGGCGGAAGGATAGCGATATGGTGCGAGAGTGGTCTTGGAAGGGGAGGAGTTCATAAGGTGTGTGTGTACGTGTGTATATATGTATGTGTGGGTGTACGTACATGTGTATGAGTATGAGCGAACATGTGCAAACTCCGGCTCCTCCCGCCTGTCATACAGCTTGTACATGTGCGTGTGTGCGTGTGTGTAGACAGGGTTAGCAGGTACCAGCCCACCCGGGCGCTCCACCCCACCTTCCTTTTGTTGTAGGCCCTCCCCTCCCCTCCCCCTCCCCCCGTCCGTATACCTTCTTCGTCCTCTCCGCCTCCAGCCTCCTCTTCTCATGCATTGCATCCCACTCCGCCTGGCTCATGGCCGCCTCAAAGGACGGCACACGCGCCGTCTCCACCTGGACAGTTTTCGGTTGGCGGGTTTCGGTTGGCTCGTTATATGCATCCATAGACACGTGAGATCTTTCCTCCGGTAGTCACATGATGAATTTCACTCTCCATTCCTGTCCGGTGCCAGAGGGTTATGCAGGGCGGACACTCGCCCCTCCCCCCCCTCTCCCCCGGAGGGCCCTCTTCCCTCCTCCTGGATGCCAGGCCCCCTCAGCCCCCCTCACCTACCTGCAGCTCCGCGGTGTATGAGATGTGGGCCTGCTCGGTGGAGAACACGTGCTGGTACAACCGGTAGTGCCTAAACAAGCCATGAGCCATGAAGCCGCCCACGGCGGCGACCTAATGGGGGAGGGTGTGGGGTCAGGAGGCAGGGGAAGGGGGGGAAAGGGTAATCATACACAAGGAAACCAGAAATGAACTGCCGGCGAGGGGAGGGGAGGAGGAAAGGGCAGAGAAGGTGTTTGAGGATGAGGGAGAGAGAGTGCAAGGGAGAAGGGAGAACGATAGTGAGGCAGTTATGGCCACGCGGTCATGTGAACAAAGCCAAGTGCTCGTTTCTGTTTGGGCTAGGTAGGAGGAGGAGGGGGGACCTTGAGGGGCTGCGGGTGTGCCCAGGGGATCCAGGGAAGGGCGAAAACAGTGCGGGGGAACAAGGGTGAGGAGTAGCAGGGCGTAGACAAAGACATGACCCACCTATCCGCCTGTTGTTGTATCACGTCTTATCGCAGGAAAAGAACCGATCGGCGGATGTCAATCCCGTGATACCCAGGATACTACACCGCCCGACCGGCCACTCGTCGATTCTCTCTCTCTCTCTCCTCTCCCGTCTAGAAAGCCATTTATCTCTCTCTCTTTCACACACACGTGCAAATGGTTACCTATCTGTCTATCTATCTATCTATCTATCTATCTAACATCTGACAGATATACATTGGGTCTGGTCTGGTCTGGTCGACACTTCTGTCTTATACAGTTTAAAGTCCTCAGTTCGGTTCCTGGGAAGATCCCCGGCAATGTCAGGAGCGTGAGATTATGGCTAGCTGATGAGATGTGGAGTTGAGCGCACAATTAATGGATGAGATTCGCACGCTAGATTGCTGAACCCTCTGTCTCTGCGGATGTTCGGGTGATTGGATGAGGGGGGATCCATGAAGGCAGGATCAACCGCCTAGGACTGCCAGTTGGGGTATGCCGTAGTACAGTGTGGTAATGGTGGATGTTGCTGTATGGTATGATGAATCGTAGAAATGACAATGTCTTCAAATGGCCCAGAAGCCTCCCACCCTGTAACAATTCAATTCAATACATTACCTGGTCGGGGCTAAAGTACGGCGTATCCGTCCCGGGGCGCGGCCGTACAAGCTGTAGCATAAGGCCCTTAAAGCACGCCTCGCATTCCTCGTACGGCGCTCCTCCTGCCAGGACACACACATGGGAGGTCGGCGACCGCCGAGGCACACGTGTATTAACCCAGGTGGCATAAACGGGGGAGGAAGAGAAGGAGAAGGAGCGGGAATAGACGAACCACGAGCGAGTGAAGGTGATGCCAAGGAAAGACTGCTGCGATAGCTGTAAAAAAACTTAATTAACCAGTCGGAGAAGGAGGTGGAGGTGGATTGTATGCCAAAGACAAGAAGATGACTCCAAAGCAGACGAGTTCAAAGCTGGCGGGGAACCTGAACACGGCGGTTAGGATGAGGATGAGTCAAAAAGTGCTATCCACGTATAGACATGATATGTAGACGCAAACGCGTGTGCGGCTCTAAGATGCGCGAGTACGGATAGTACGGCAGGCGGGGACAAATCAGTAACCGAGGTGCGGAAGGTGCGGGCAGCGCCTCCTGAAGCAACCCTGGAAGGGGTGGGAGGAGGCTGCTCAGTTTGGAGGTTTTCAGCAGCAGAAGGTTTCTGTAAAGGGGCGTTCTAAAAGGTCAGTGCCGTACTAGCGCGGCCTAGGTACTGTTAGAGCTGTTGTTCCGAGATTCTCTTCCCAATAAACACAACTGACCTTAGAGGAGCATTGTAATGGCATATTTTGTTCAAAACACATTTCATGATGTTTTTTTATAACCCAGCGTGCCATTAGCGAGATGGATATAGAACCCTGACTAATCTCTACATCGTCTCACCCTTGCGTTGGGGACGCACAATTACGGCCCACCGTACGTGTTGTACACCGAACCCATGTCGTACCTATACAGGTTTGTAGAACACGATGCGCTACATTGTACCAGCTTGCTTTACGTGTCGGACCGAAGCTCTGCTTGTGCGCGAAGCTGCGGAATGGGATGGTTTCGGAAGCAGCAAAAACTCTGTGGGCAAGAGGCTGCAACGTGTGTTAAGGAAAAGTGGTTTCGGAGGCAGCAGCAACGTGGCTTTGAAGCATGTGGAATATGGAAGAGAATGAGGGGGTCTGACGGGCTACCGTACTCACTCCAAGGAGTAGGTGGCATAGTCGAGCAGGATGGCCTCCCGCGCGTCAAAGCGATATTTGTGAAGCTTCAGGACCGACGCCAGATACCTGCGGTTTGGACGGGGAGGTATGCGCTAAGGGAGTTTGAAAGGGCCACGGATGGCCGCTCCATGCTTCCCCTGTCTGGTGTTTTGCGGAGCATGGCCAGAAGCTGTTCACGGCAGCCGTCCAGTTTTTCCAATTTCACAATGCTCACCCGGCAGCTGCATCTGGATCCTTTAGAAGGTCCAGGTATTCTTGTAGCTGTTCTTGCGTGAAGTGCACCCAAAGGTCTTGCTCGGTCATCCTCCTTGCCAATTACGCGGCGAGCCTTGACGCTTATAGTTAATTGTTAAACAATAGTACGGTCTTTAAGTTTCACTTAACTATCATAAGACCTTAAGCAATGCGGCGAAGAAAGAAATTCCTTCAACAACACGCGCTCCGATGCTTCATAACATCCCTACAGTTTAATGTTAATGAAAACTTCACGGTGTTGCAGGTGCAACTAATTGCCTGCCCTCCGTGGTTAACGCACGTCCTTGTAGGACAGATTATCGCCGACTGCTATACTGCAGTATGCAGCAATATTATTAAGGTTCCTATGTAAATATCGACAGGTGAATGTGTGCGTTTCTTTGTAGGGATGGTAATGGAAAACTTAAAAATGGACGACAGCCATTACTACTTCAAGAAAAGGTTAACCAACCAGAACCCACATCAATCCCTTAGCATTTCGGGGTAACTGTGTAGATATTTTTGGTTGATGATGAAAGTTGTATTACCGTAATGACAGGAAATGTTCGTGATTCTATTGTTCGAGACACCCTCAAAATTACACCCGAAAATATTGGTGAAACTTTTGAATTCGTAAGAAGCCAACGCAACCGAAGCAACGGTGCCTGCAATGTTCGTTAATGGGTCCGACTCAGAACGCCGATTGACGCAAAAGCTGGCCAATGCATGCACGGTTATTCTGCTCACCAGCAAACACCAGATTCCGTATAAAGTATCTCGTATAACTTGTCATTTACTAACGATCTTTGACGCATAGAATCCAACGGAATAAAGCGTGGCATTGTACGATTTGGCTTCGGAGCACACATATATTCGTAACGACCATCGCCTGGAACAGCTTGTAATTTATATGTGACATAATTTCGTGATGCCGTCACGAAATTAAAATCACGAACATTTCCTGTCACTACGGTATAGCGCTAAATCGCTGGACTGTTGGCAACGCCGCGGGTTGCTAACTGTACTACTGCTTATGGACATACAGTGAAGCCTTGAATCACTTTTGTGGATACCTGGGTGAATACTGCTTGCGACAAAGGTTCACCGGCAGCTGGTGTTGCACTTCACAGCGACGATACTCCCAGTCCGCGTGCAATAGGGTATGTTGTAAACTCTTGAGCTGCTCTGTGCCATACGCTATACAGCTACTCAGACTCGGAGGGTGGTCTGCACTTCTTTTACAAGCAAAACTACTAAGGGATCCAAACGCCGTGCCTCAATGTACGAAATGGGTGCCCAAAGCCTTTCAGTATAGGGGCCTGAGTGAAATAACGACTAACTCACAACAGGTTTACACCTACACCTTTAAGTTGCATCCATCCTACCAACTTTGCTTGTTGCTTGAGGGCCGATGTCGCCCGGCCCGTTGGCAGCGGTTTAGTGCTCTGAGTATACTCGTTTGCGGTGTGTTCGCTTCGTTTGGCGTGTAAGCGCAATCAATTCGTATCGGTGCTTCCTCCTAGCTATTCGAAAAACTGCTGTGGACACTTTCCATAAGCCCGCGAGAAAGGGGCAGGGGGGAGGTGTTGCAGTGTGTGGAAGACGAGGAGAGGGTGTCCATGCGTCACAGGCCCGTTGTGTGGTAACAGTATAAATGAAAGGCGGTTATCCTGTGTTGATAACTCGTACAGAACTCATGCATATCGTAGTTTGGCGGGATACCAGTACTGGTTCTGGAGTGGACTTCCAAGACTTTCTTTGTATTTATGGCAGGGTCTTGCCTTTGATCTTCACTCTAATCCCAGACCTATGTAACGTATATCGAGGTGATCCCTCTGTATCCGCTGCTTGGTTTAACATCCTGCCTTTGCATGTTGTGCACATGTACTAGTAGTGTGAGGAAAGAGAACTCAGCTCCTGAGCCGTAGGGCGCGGCCCAGAAAGACCCTCCCATATGAAGGATGCTATGAACTGGTTATGTAACACACACACACACGTCAGAGGTGATGCGACACGCTGACCCGTGTGTGTGTTTTCTGCCTAGTCCTGAACCTCATTTGGGTTTGTTGCCTCTCAAACTCTGAAGGACCCACCCCTGCAGTGGCCGCATGGACAGGCTGTAGTGCACTCCTGCCAGGCAGTGCGCCAAGCTGTAGTAGGCACCGTACTTGTAAAACAGGGCCAGGTGCAGGCGCCCCGAGTAGGCAGGGGCCTGCAGTCCCAGGGAAACGTTGTAATGGCGTGGGGTTAGAAAGGTGTACAGCAAGGGGGGAATTGCCCAGAAGATGTCAGAGGGCTGTTGGACGGTGAGCGGGAGGAAGGGAGGGTAAGGAAAGGGGTGCAGGCTGCAAGGGTGTTGCATGCAGGCTGTGGCTGTTGACAGAGGCCGGAGGTTTTAGGTTTTGTGGGTATGACGTCTCAAATAGGGTTTAGGTCTTTTCAAGGGCTTTATTACTTCAAGAGAACCAATCGGGGTGATTGTGTTGGGATGGCTTTGTGTTGATAATTGTGTATGGATAGCTTTACCGACTTGGCCTCAATTTAATCCCTCAATGGCTGCGACACTAATGCGAGACAAGCCCGTGTTATAAGAGCTCACTTTCATACTTTCGCATTTCGGACCAACACGACGGACCCACATCACCCACGAGCCCTGGACCCGCCTTAATCGCGGCCAGGACAGTACCAGCCACCGCCAGCTCCGAGACCATCATGCCGCCACAGCTGCCAAAGACACCCGCAGCCAACCCCGACCGCTTGGTGCTCGTCCTCCTCCTTCTCCTCCTCCGTCACCAGATCCAGCACCCACTCCTTGACGGGTTGCCGCCACCGCCGCCACGCTGCGGATGCTGTTGCCACTGAGCCAGGCCCCCTGCCGGCTTCCCGCCCTGAAACCTGGTGCAAGGCCTCCGCTGCCGCCACCGCCGCGTCCTCATCCAGATTTGACCCCCACGTTGTTTCTGTCGCGGCACTCACGGTGGCGGCGGCGGCACCTTCCGCCTCCACACCCTCCTCCTCCTCTGCAGTGCTGTCCAGCCATCCCGCCAGCCCATCGGCCACATAAGTGTGAGAGGGATCAGCTCCCCTGGCATCTCCCAAATGAGTACTCTTTGCCTGGTGTTACATTGGTGCGAATTGCTAGGAGGTGGGAACTCCCCGGATCGAATCCGGTTACGAACATATTGCACATCGGGCATGTTGAAGCATACTCTTACCCCTAAGGTGGATGCCCGGGCGTGCAAAAGAAGTCTACCAGCTGAGTATAAACAAAGTCCTCCATCTCGGACGGAGACTGACGAAAAGTCACAATAACAAATTCACAATCCTACGGGATCTCAAACAACCAAAATCCTACGGGATATGCCTGGGGGTGCCCGAGGATGTTCACTCGAGGGGGGGAGGAATGTGAGAGGGATCAGCTCACCTGGCATCTCCCAACTGAGTACTCTTTGCCTGGTGTTACAATAAGGCCCCATACTGAGCAGCAGCGCTAGCAACAACCGGCAGCAAGGACCTGGCATGTGGCCACTACCTCCTCCATGCCGCAAGAGCATGAGCATGAGCAAGGGCTATGGGGAAAGTGTGAGTGGGTGGGCTATGAAAGCGGTACATGGTGGCTTATGAAACACAACACACTGTATCCTCTTATGAAACACAAAACACTGTATCCTCTCATAAGAGCCTTCAGAGTTTCAAGAACACCACCTGGTGTCCGGATCGGAAAGCCTCCTGTCTGACGTCCTTCCCTGGCTCCCCCTCCCATCTGACGTCCTTCCCTGGCTCCCCCTCCCGTCTGACGTCCTTCCCTGGCTCCCCCTCCCGTCTGACGTCCTTCCCTGGCTCCCCCTCCCGTCTGACGTCCTTCCCTGGCTCCCCCTCCCGTCTGACGTCCTTCCCTGGCTCCCCCTCCCATCTGACGTCCTTCCCTGGCTCCCCGGGGGTAACATGAGGTGTAATGCTGGCATGCAATTGCGGCCCTGGGCCGGGGCGGTATTGTACGATGGACTCCCGACAATCTCCCGCCGAGATTTACATCGATAAACGAGTGTGCCTCATCGGAATCGTTCCCACAACAACCCCCAGGAAGCGAATTGACCCTATCCTGTTACTACTGCCACAGCAGCTCACGTACGAGGTCTATTTGAGGCAAGTGCTATTTCATGCGCTGGAGGGCCTGTGGCGATCGTGACGGAGGTCCAGTGTGAGAACCCAAGCACTAAACACACGCAAGAGCATCGGGGGGTTGGGGCATAGTGAGATCACCTTAATACCTAGCTAACGAAGTTTCAGTGTAAATGACGGTTGAAAGTTCATCGAGTATGTAAGACCCAAGGGGACATATAACAGCTGGTGCTTGGGTTGGCGCCGTCACGTTGGATGTGCGAGTGTGCGAGTGAAGGTGTGATGGAGTGGAAAAGGGGAGGGGAGATGGGGAAACGTCCATGGGCCCTAGTCTCATGAAAGTGACACCGCACGCTATGTACACACAATGGCTGCGCCGTTAGTGGAATTCGACGGCTTAATATCATGTCGCCACCTAAGACGGCTCCCTGATAGCTTTCGCAGGAAAGGCCGCACCTCCCGGGCGCATCAACTCTGCAGGCCCCCGCCGCTGTTCCGGTTTCTCAACCTTCCTGTACCTTGTTTTCCGTCTGGAGGTCCGCACTAATGCTGTTTACAGATAAACGGACGTTATTGCGTAAATGTGTGTACTAATGCGTGTAGTACATTCGGTGGCTATGGCTTCACTACATACATTTCTTCCTCTCGAAGCTCTGGCAGCAGTGGCTTCGTGCGCTTGGACATGCAGATAAGCGTTTAAAGTCACAGGCTAGGCCTGAGACTGACTTCTTGTGTCACCGAGCTGGTGGTGATCACTAGTCGCAGGGATTGTAAGACACAGCTGGAATGAAGGCCGGTAAAACATGTTAAGATATAGGCGAGTGGAACTGTGTAGGTAAAGCCAACCTTAACCGTTACAGGTATCACAGAACAAGCTTTCAGTCAAAACATCATCTCCTTTATACCAAACATTCCATCTTATCTGTCGTACAGCCGTTAGTGTTCTGGCCGGAAGTCAACACTCCCCCTCGGACGGAACACTCGGGCTAATCCAACTCAACGAACACCCAGCCCTTCTCGAAACTGCACGAACTTCCCTTCCAGTAACGGCTTCGTGAGGATATCCGCTACCATGCTGGTAGTGGGACAATACTCAAACTTCACCTGCCCCATAGATACCCTCTCACGCACAAAATGATGGATCACATCGATGTGCTTCGCACGTTCCGAAACAATCGGATTCTTTATCAAACTTAATGCTCCCTGGTTGTCACCCCAGATACGCATCACATCGATCTCACACCCAAACTCGGGCAGAAGTTTCCTCAGCCAGAGCGCTTCGCGAGTAGCTAGGGACGCCGCCATATACTCCGCCTCCACAGTCGATGCTGCTACAGTCGGTTGCAACTGACTCTTCCAGCTGACGGCTCCACCGCCAAGGATAAAGGCATAACCAGTTGTCGAACGGCGGTTGTCTCGATCCACTGCCCAGTCCGCATCGGCATAACCCTCAATTGCCTTGCTGTCCCTGGCAAAACATAAACCGAAACTCGCAGTCCCCTTCAGATATCTCAGGATATCCTTAGCAGCCTCCCAGTGAGCCTTCGCCGGCTCAGACATATACCGCGCTAACTTAAACACAGCATGCGCGATATCAGGACGCGTGCACACTGCCAGATACATCAAACCACCAATTAACTCTCGGTAGCGCGTTGCATCCAACAATACCTGATCGATATCACTAGTACGGTTCAAAACTAGACTTGGCGTCATAGGAACCGACTTAGGAACTGCATCCTCCATCCCGAACTTGGCCAACAATTCGGCCGTATATCGCTGCTGCGAGATTTTGACCTCGCCTAGCTCCTTGCTCCGACTGATCTCCATACCCAAAAAGAACGACACCTCCCCCAAATCACGGAGGTCAAACTCAGCCTTCAACTCTTGCTTTATACGGGCTATTTCCTCGCTTTTGTTGCTCGCGACTAGCAAGTCGTCTACGTGAGCGTATAGCCACACAACAAATGCCTGCTCTTCCAGCATAAAGAAGCTGGGATCCGCATCAGAAACCTTAAAACCAATGGCCTCGAGC